ATTGTATACCGGAGAATATGCAACGAAACCGGAAATTTCGCAAGAATGGGTATAATCACGGCAGAAATTATATGAAACGCTTCACGTTCTGCCAAATAGATGCTTGATTCTTCTCTTCCTATTAAATATCTATGGAATTAAATTTCCTTCGTTACAGGTCGTAATTTACGCATCCTCTTTCACAATTTCCCAATTTTGCTAATAGGATAATCGAATAATCTCATTTGATTGTTTTTACCAAAGTTACTACAACGATATTTATCTCTCGTCTATTACCCGTAATTTCACTCGCTCTGAGTGATACTGATATTAGCTCAATTGTGCAAGAAAAAGTCCAAAGACGCTAAACAAATATACTGAACGAAAGCACTGGATTCGTACGGAAATATTTTATTCTTTGTCTTTAATTTACATTTCCATGTAGAATCATTCCCTTTCTGCTCGTTATCGTCAGTTACAGGACACTTTGTGCGTATACGACGCGCCGTCCCTTTGTCCCAATAAAAACACCATTTCCTACTATCTCTGACACGTTCACGATGCTTTTCTTCGATGATCGTACACGTTGGTACAAGACTTCGTTGATACGCGTGCAAAAAATCTCGTCTAGTTATCATAATTTTCAATTACTTTGAAATACAGTATTCAAATAGTAGCAGATTTTCGCTGCTGTTTCGCTACTTCTTCGGTCATCTGCAGTCCTTTGTCCTTCGAAGCTTGTGTCCGCCTTTATCTATCTATCCTATCCGTCTGTCTGCCTGGCTGTCTGTCTGTCTGTTTGGTTCTAACTGTGCATCACTCACCCTTTATCGCGCTAACGCTTCGAGATCTAATCAACGTCGACCTTAGTCAAGCGATTGTTCCATGTGCGACAGCATCGAATGCGACTGGATCGATAAGGTGCATCATACCAATAATTTTCCTGTATAGTAGGCGAGAACGATACAGTAAGCATGTAAAATCGTTCGGTAATTAAAGTTCGTAAATGTATTGGGAATTTAGAACCGGTTCCTGCTTCGCGGTATATTTACAGAAATTTATCTCCCGCTAAAAGGAACAGATTCTTCTTTTTTTAAGATCCTCGATAGGCTATTGTAAAATAACGACTGAATATTTTTAATCGAACGAAGAAGGAACAAAGATTACGGAAAGAAAATGAAAGATACCTCTGCGTTTCGAATGTTTCGAAAAATGTAATGGATAGAACAAGTTCTAACCTTAAAATTGCGATATATCGATTGCGCTTACTATACCGTTCGATTGTTCGGCGAGTCGATGTTAAAATGTCCGGAAATGGTATTGACGCGACTGGAGAAAGAGGAAATATTCCGGAATAAAAGGAAACGGAGAGAAACAACGAGGAAGCGTGCCGCTTTAAATCGTCGCTTCCGTATCCAATTCGATATTCATCGGCAATTTCAAAATTTCGTGACTAATAATCGTGATAGGAAGCTGCTGCCGCCGCTGTTGCCAGTGGTGGAGGTTGTGGTTGTATTGGTTGTATCGGCGATAGCACTGTTACCAATACTGGTGGCCGTTTAATTAAAATGTCCCGACGAACTTACGGTGGTAACGGTGTTATTACGGTACCAACATGCACCGCACGTGTGTCCAGTGTCCAACAGATCGATAAAAATACACGCACGATCGAACTGCATGCAGTATCGATATATCGAATAACGACTATGTTTTCATGCATGCTGTAAACAATGCCACGACAAGCGAATACTTGATCGCCAGCGATAATTCGGCATTCGGTGTTTCGTTCTCTGTTTCGACCCTTTTCGATACACGCGACTACCGGACCGCTTTTCATCCGAATATCTTGATCAATGTGAAACTAAAAGTAATCGATGTTCACCATCGATCGTAAGTATCGCGATGGAGAGTGAAATTAACCTCAAATATTATTAGGAAATTACTAACCTCGAAGAATTATTACCTCGTTGGACATTTTGAATCAGGATAGGCAGACATTAGCGACATCTCAAGTAAATAAAGAAATCGTTATAATAAAAATACCTTGCGTTAATAAGATTAAATTTTTCTTCCTTTGTGTCCCTTGTCCGTTACCATACACACGGTCTCGCGCACGTACACAGAATAAGGAACGAATGAAAGAACGAAAACGAGGAATAGAAACAGCGTGGGGGTGAGAGGTAGGGAGAAGAAGGGGAGGAGGGGAGAAAACAACGGTGACGAGCGCGAGGGGTAGGTAGGAGGAACTGCCGAGATTCCGACTTTATTGGCGCAAATGGCAATTATCTGGAGTACGAGGAGTGTTCGAAGGAAAGAATTAAAATATTTCCACCGTTCCCAGCTGTCAAGTAATTTTTGCAATTTCATCCTCTACTCTCCGTTCCCCTCTACTCGTCCACCCTCATCGCTATTCTGTAACGAACACTTTACGCGTTTCATCGACGCAATCGAGTCGTTATAACATGCGTCTACTAGCAAACTAATTGGAAATCTTGCGAGTCTCGCGACACCGTTCCACAACGAGACAATTTCTCTTCCCTTTTCCATACGCCGATTACTTACAGTTACTCCGAGAAGTACTTAGTCCAATAACTTACTAACTATATGCTAACAACGACTATAACAAGATTTAACTGTAAAGAGTGATTCACATGACTGAAACAAGTTATGTTTCCTTCTTGATTGAAGTTGGAACAAAATGTTAGAGTAGAAACGGCTATCACGTCCCCTTTTCTTTTTTGTTTTTAATTACGCTATTTTTTCTACTAAGAAAATGTATGTACTTGTTGGATCTTTTCGCTACGACCTTCGCTTAACCCAGATACGTTATTATATCGCCTTAATCATCACTGCCTGAATACTTTTACAAGTAATTTTATCTTAAAATTCGTGTGCCGAACACACGAATCCTCGCCAATCATTCATAACCACTTACGTAACAACTTTGAACATTAACGAAGTTCGCGAGCGCATTCAAGCGAAAGAAAAGATCGAACTCTTCTAACAATAAGTGCTATATATAGTTAGATCCATACGAAAGGTAAAACTTTTACAAGTAATAGAGGCTGCCGTCTGGGATACTTCATTGCCGATATAACATCGAAGGGTAAAGTAAAATTTTCAAAATATCTTGCAAAATCGAAAGACGAAGCGTGATCCTTTTCATCCTTTTACAGAGAGGCTATTCTCGTCTGATAATACGTCCATTCTCCCGACAAGGTAGACGAGAGAGAAGCATGCAGAAGTTGCATCGTGTCGCACGATATGCATTTAATTTAAGTTCCGATATTAAAGCGCGATACGCCCGTTTCCTTCGCCGATCAAATCCATACATCCGGAAAGGTGAGAGCTCCAATTCTCGCTTTATCAAGTACAGAAAGCGACGCCTGCAGCTAACTCCGTTGCGATTCTCAAATTTTTATATTTCGATCTTGCCTCTGCTTTAACGACTAAAAAAGAAGGCTCGATATTCTCGGAGAATCTTTGGACATAGAATTGAAATGAGAAATCAGATACGATAGAAACAAGAAGCCCTTTTATTCAGTTCTTCGCGTTATGGTTATAAGGCAGAATGTTCAACGCTCGTAACGATAACGATCTAACCATCGTTCAACGACGTATTTATCGTTTTATCGAATCTTTAAAACCGATTCGATAGAACGTTCGTAACTTGGATCATTCGAAATTACGTGCAACAGAGAGGAACGCAAGAACGAAAGAAAGAAGAAAAATAATACAGCATCCCCTAGATCGCAACGTGAGCGCTAAAATTAAACGGAACGCATACAAACGTATATGTACGGCAGGGCTAGCAACTTCGATAAACGACGAACGTTGGTAAACACACCTCGGGCCACTGTGTTTCTTGGAAATTTCTTTATCGTCGTGTTTATTTAAAACGTACTTGCTTCACTAGTTCGAATACGATAAGAATAAAAGGTAAGCGCGTCCAGGTATGACCAAAGATACACTTCGTCAGAGGATCCACAATTGTGCTTCTATTTTATCTTACATTCCTACGTGATTGTACGTCATAACATAACGTACATTCTTTTTGATATTAAAACAATAACTGAAACTACAATTACGTAATAATACTTTTCAGACACCTTGCTACGTATTCACTCCCATAACCCTTGTCTATCGTAAAATGCCACATTATCGAAAATATAGGAATAAAAATTATCGTTATCTTCGTCGATTGTCTTCGCTTAACTCTGATATGGTCACAGAATTCTTCATATCTCTGTTTAGTTTCAATCGAAAAATAGTCTCTTAGTATTTTATGAAAATGTTTAGTATAGGATTCAAACAAGAAAGAAATCAACCAAATATTGTCAATAACGATTCTTTCTCGTGTTACAATTTTTGTAACTGATTTTTGAGTTTTTAAACGTTTGGGAATTTTCCAACGATAAAAACATGTTACTCGATCGATAATAATCCAAAGAATAAAAATTTGATACTATGATGTATACTATGTTATTGTACAGAGAGGTTTGAAATATACACATACATTCAATAACTGTGTCGCTCGACAACAGCAATTATCCATGAAAGCACACTCGATAGAATACTCACGCACGCAATATAAAATAAAAGAGAAAATAATACGCGTTGATCTTTTATTCGCGAATGCTAAATCATCTTGTTCTATGAACTCCACTCTTCTCTATCTCCCCTTTTTCAATTTCTCAAGCCGATAGTTTGTATTATCTTATTCGCAATAAATCATCTTCCCTCAATGACAATTATGAAAGTTTATTATTATTATTCGCTAACAATCGTTGTACCATATTTGCCATTACTTATTGACGTGCGCCGTTTTTGAGATTATACTCGAATGGAGTATACCTCCATGTAACAATTTCGAATTAACTAAGTGTGTATACGTCCTTTGGACACAACGTTGTAAATCACCCCTATGAAACTCGCCAAATGTGTATTGTACCGCGAATCTTAAAATCGAACATATAAATAACGAAAAATAGACGAAATGGATCACAGAAAATTGTGCTTACCTTTAAAATGACAAAATCCATGTTTCGCAGGACTGGAGTTGATGACGAGGCGTGCTAATGACGTTTTACAAAGAAAAGCGATGGCAGATGAGAACGTTGAAGTCAAGATTGGTCGGGACGTGCTTGGTTTGGTGTACCAGAGATGAACAACGAAGAGCTCGAAAGAAGGATCAGATAGAATCAAACGGAAACCGAACGAAAGCAATTACGGTGGCGAATCTCCCACTCGACACTTCTTTCCACTTGTTCGAAACAACGAGGAATATCGACGTTGGCACTCACACACGGCACGAAGTGGCTAGATCGTCCTTACTTCGATGATCTAGCATCGTCGTAGCACGCCTCCTCGCGATTCCACGCCACAAATGCAAACGGACCGATTACTCGCATTGCATCGAATGCAACTTTTGCATTTATATGTTGACAAAAAAAAAGAGTGAGAGAGAGAGAGAGAGACAGGCAGACAGACTCTCGAGAACTCACAACTGTACGCGAGAAAAAACGAAAAGCGACGAGGCGCAGAAAAGATTCATATCGTATAGTAACTGCACGTTAAAGCAAACTTGAACTCCGTCTTCGAATAGACGAAAGACAGTCTTCAAACTATCGACGATCTTTAAGTTCAAACACAGAGTTCAACAATTTCTCTCGCTAGGTGTTCCGCGTGACGATAAAGGACCGTTGTTTTGTCGAATCAAACCGTCGTTCTTTACGTCTTTGATGAAATAATTAAAAAATTCTGACGGTTAGTCATCGTTGAATACGCGTGTCTCAGCGTTGCTGACCAGTTCCATTAAAATTAGATTATCTTCGATCAAAGTAAAAATCTATTTTTAAGCATTCGTCGCTCGCGTCGTTTACACTTACCGCTTGAACTCTTCGTTTTGCTGCTATTTCGTTATGGAACGTACGATACGGCAAAAGTGCCGCGAGATGAGACGTCAGGAGGATCACGCGGCATTCACGAAACGATTTTCAGCCCACGCGATGAGCGCGTCGAAAGCGAAGTTTCTACGATGCGATATGATGAGACGAGACGAGACGAGACGAGACGAGACGAGACAAGACGAGACGAGACAAGACGAGACGAGATGAGACGAGATGAGATGAGGTACGATGAGACGCGGCGAGACGAGGCGAGGTAAAAGAAGGCAAACGGCGCGGTGCAACGTTGTAACACGCGAGAAAAATATTCAGCCAACACGCGTGCCGGCTTGGCGTCGACTGAATTCAACG